ATCTCTCTAAACTCCCTTCCAATGTCTGCCTCTCTGTAAAATACAATTTTGTGTCCAGAATTTTCTTTTTTCTAAAATGCTTTTGTCCTTTTATTCTACACCATCTCTCTTCTATATTCAGATTTCAGTCATGGAATTGTGTTATGTCATAAAATTAATGTCATGCACATCCTCCTTTGATATTTTTAATTTCTCTTCTTTATGTGGAAATATTTTAAGATTCATGTGTGGGTTTTTTTTTATTTTTATGCTCTCCAACATATTATAAACTTCATTTTTCACTATGCAAAGCAGACATCTAGTCCCAGATAATCCACCTTATTTGAAAACCAGATTCCATTTTAAACCAGAGGATGAGAATCTCAAGCCTTGACCTCCCATATTCTCTTGTGATTCTCTGTCTTTTGATATTACTTTCTTCCATATATGAAAGAATCCCTCAGCTGAGGGGCTATGCTTACATTCAGAAAGATTCTAACTCCATGCCAGGGGATAGTACTGAAGGGCTAGTAGCTGCAAGTTCTGAAATGAAACTGTTTAAGCACTGGCCAGGATGTTTGAAGAAGTTAGAAAGGGAATTAGGAAAAGCAATGCCCAGTGAAAAAGAAGAAACAAAGAAAACTATTTTTATTTTAAATAAAATAAGAACTCAGGGAATAAGTGGGTCATCCATTAGTTTAGAGTGATTCTATCAAATGTAAATATTCTATTTTTTTAATGACTGTTTCTACTAAATGGGTTGGAAAGCATGATTGAGGAAGACCAAGGAAATGGAATTTAGGTCTGATTTCTGATCCTGGCTTTGTGAATGCATTGCTGTGAGCACACTGGCTAGCCACTTAACTTCACTAAGTTGTTTTTCTACCTGTAGAATAAGGTGATTGAATGAGTTAATCTCTAAGTTCTTTCCCACTTCTATACAAAACTACAATTCTTGTCGTCTCTTTAATATGTGCTTGCATTTCCTGTTTGAAGATATATCTCCCTGACTCTGGCTCAAAAATTTTAAATTTCCAATAGGAAAAAGAACAAACTCTATGGGAACTTGGCTTCTGAAGAACTCCTAACAGTTTCCCAAAGTCATCAGTGTTTTCTAAGAAGGCAGATAGACCAAACACATGGTCTTTTTTTCCAAACAGGCTTCCTTGGGTCATCAGAACTTCTCCTCAATAATATAAATAATTCATCTTTGTAACATAATGGATGGGACATTCTTCTTAAATCCTTCATGTTTTATGTAACTGGAATATTGTAAGAAAGTACGAGATTCTGGAGAAGTATTATTAAATGGAATTTCCCTATATATTTACAGGGGAGTTGCTATTTTATTTCTGATATGAACAATTTACTACCTGTTTTTAGAAGATTAATTTATCAAATATTTCTTTCTTGAGATTGTTCTATGTGCTAGGCACTGTTTTAGACAGGTAAAACAGCATTGAACGAAGGAAAAATATTCTCCACATTCATGAACTTTAATATTACATTTGTGAAAAGCTATAAATATTAGAACAGAATAAGTAAAGTACTGCCTGGAGACTAAAGGCATATTTTTTTATCAGTTACTTCCCAATATTTTTAAGATGACTCAGCTGTCAGTTGAACCACCACCAGTGGTGTCCAACTACCTACCATACCTCACTATTAACATCCATCCATTCATATGCTTAAACATTTAACTTTAACTTTTCTTCATATCAGTGACTATTTTCCCTACAGATTTTCTATTACTTTCCATCTTTCTAGAGACAATATTCATAAACAGTGTATGAAAACTCAACTACAGTCCACTCTCTCAGGTATTTATAATGCATCAATATGTAGTGCTTTAAACCATGACTGGTAACGTAAGCAAAGATGTACAATGTTCTACCAATTCTTCTTTTGATCATCATTTTATCTTCCTTACTTTTTCTTTATGATTCCTCCTCCTGTCTCTTTTTAATTCTCCAACGCTCTTTCCAACTCATCTTTATCCTTCTCTTTTCTTTAGGTCTTCTTTCCTGCTTGCTCTTTTACATTCTATTTACTTTGACTCCATCACATTGATTACACTCCTAGAATTTCGTATTTATTCATTTTGACTCATACCTCAAGACAAAACTATTTTAGCATTAATAACCTAACATAAATCGGAATTCCTAAATCTGACAAAGTAATTCAGAGACATTAATTGCTCTTACAAGATGAAACACCACTTTCATGATGACAGTTCTAGGGCATTTGGTTCATATGTTGTATTTTAGTAATATGGAAAAGTATTTTATCATAAGCAGTCTACATGATTCTTCAACTTAATTTCTTTATAAATAAGTATTTATAACTAGATGTTGTACTTAGTAAGTACCAAACATCTTTTGCTCTGAAGAAAAAAAAGTATTGCCATGAAACCTCCCAGGGATAATCTTGTTAACTCTAGATTCAATTCCCTTCCCCACATCCTGTGTCCTTAGGTCTCTGTGGTCTGGATGATCTAAATATGGATATGAATTCCAGGGATAGCTGTATAAATGAATTGAAAGTAGTAAAACACAGAAAAATGTGCAGATGCCTCTTGACTTATAATGAAGTTATGTCCTGATAAACCTTTCATAATTTGAAAATATTGTAACTCAAAAAGGCATTTAATATGGTTAACCAACCAAACATCAAAGTGTACCTAGCCTACCTTAAACCATCTTAGAACACTTACAGTAGCCTGTAGTTGGGCAAAATCATCTGACACATTAATTTTATAATAAAGTATTAAATATTTCATGTAATATATTGAAGACTGTACTGATGTACAGTTTCTACTGAATGTGTATTGCTTTCTCACCATCATATTTTAAAAATTGTAATTTTTAAATTACATACAATTCAATTCTGTATGTAATTCATCGAAAAAATATCACCACATCTTTAAAATAAAAAAATTCAAAAGAAAAAATGCTAGAAAGAGTATTTAGGAGAACATCTAGATAGAAAAAGGAAGGAAACAATACAGAAATTGACTGAGAGGTTAAAAAAAACCTTGTGTTTAGAAAAATAGAAAAAGAATCAAACCTGTCTCTGTCTGCTATATTATCTCCAAACTATTATCCTTCTTATCCCACTGTACCTTATTGCCTCTATTTCTTTGATTATTTATTGTGACTTAATATTTCCCACCTCAATATTACTGAACTTGCTCACTCTGAACTTAATGAGAACATCAGAACATCTATTTTTTATAGTTTTTTCATGAGTTTGAAATGTATTGAGTATGACCAAATCTGGTCAAAGTAAAGCAGAGGAGATGCTTTGTCATCTGCCTGAATGGAATGTTCCAAAAAGCTTGAATTTCATGATAGTTCTATACAAAATCAAAAAAGGTGATATCAGACCCCTTTATTTATTTAACTTTACCTCCTGAGACTCTCATCTATGAAGAAAGTTTAGCAGTTTATGAATATGGGTGATTGGATAAAGGAAGTATTAAAGTTTTATATTTCTTCAGTTGTTTTTTCCTCTTATAATTGTGAGTAAATCCTGGTTTTCAAATATTCTTAATAAATCTTTTATTCAAATTTCTATGCCATTTAGATGATTTATCAAAAAATATAAATATAATACATGTATTGAAAGATATTTCAAAATCTAAAAGGCAAGTTCTAAAGATCAAAAGCAATTACTGTTATTTAAAATGTTGACTATGCAACTTGTTTACCTTTATTGCATGTAATATTTTTGTAAGTCTTTCTAATGCTATTGTAAACACCTCTATCAATATTTATTTTAATAACAGTATTGCAGTTCATCATGTCCACATATCATAATATACTTAAGCCTACTTAAATTGTTCCAAGGTTTTACTACTGTCAGTAAAATATGAAGAGCATTTTTGTACTAAAAAACATCTGCAAAAATAGAATTCCAGAAGGAGTATTATTGCACCAAAAGGTATGGATTCAAATTTTTTAAAATCACTTCAACAATTTATTATTTTTTGTGTTATGAACACTCTATCCTACTTTTAGTTATTTTTAAATGTACAATAAATTACTGTTCTCTGTAGTCACCATGTTGTGTTTGCTATCATACACTAGATCTTATTTATTCAAAATTCTTGATGCATAATTTTTAAACATTTTCTGTAAGGTTTAATTCAGTCTATATTCCCTCTAGCAATGTATTAAAAAGTGCCTATTTCACTGATCCCTTGTCAAATTTTTTAATAATAATTGTAAAAATTATTTTAATTTAGAAGAAAAATAATAGTATTACATTTTATGTTTCTTTGATTTCTAAGACACACATACATGCATGCATACACACACATACACACACACACACACATATATATATACATCTTACATGTTTTAATTATTTCATTTGTTCATTTATCTATTACGTCTTGGAGGTCTTATTGAACAGTTTGAATTCTTTTTCAACTATGAAGATATCAACCTTCTGTCACTTTATAGCATTTCAAATTCAAATATAATAGTTGTGTTAGTTTGGGGCACATGTAGGAAATAGCCTTCAAAGGTATATTAATTGTTATTATGCATTTATATTATCATTTATAATTTTTGATTATTTTTATTATTCTTAATTAGAATTCTTAAGATTGTTTATTTTTAAAACCCATGTTATATGTTTGTATACAATCGTTCAACTTTCTGAGATTTTATATTCTTTTATATTTGTTTTTTATCTTTTTTTGCCTGAGTTTCTTTAGTTTATTTTATGCATCCTTTTCCAACTTCTTAACTTGCTGATAAGTTCCGTATTTGAACAAATGAGAGCATTTAAAACAACAGATAACCTCTGAGCACAACTTTGTAAATACTACATTAATCTTTATGCCCTGGGCTTTCATTATTTTATTAACAGTCTAAAATCAATTAAATTATAAATTTGTTAATAATCTATTTTTAATTATTGATAAATGTCAATAATTATTTTCAGTGCCTCCAAGTTGATTCATTCTTTCTTTTTTTCTGGTCACTTCACAGTCTTCCCTTCTTTCTGATTCAATGGACCAAGTAAATGACTCTGTGGTAACTGAATTTTTATTACTGGGACTTGCACAATCTTTGAAAATGAAGAGTTTCCTTTTTCTCTTCTTCTCTTTATTCTACATGGGAATTATTCTGGGAAACCTCTTCATTTTGTTCACAGTGATTTTTGATCATCACCTACACTCCCCCATGTATATCCTGTTAGCCAACCTGTCACTCACTGACTTGGGTCTTTCATCTACTACAGTTCCTAGGATGATCTCTGATCTTTTCACTGATTTTAAAGTCATTTCCTTTCAAAACTGCATGATACAAATGTTTTTTATCCATGTTATGGGGGGTGTTGAGATGGCACTGCTGGTAGCTATGGCATACGACAGGTATACTGCAATCTGCAAGCCTCTTCACTATCTAACTGTTATGAATCCCAAAATGTGCCTGTTTCTGGTAGTAGCTGCTTGGGTCATTGGGGTCATTCATGCTGTGACACAGTTTGTTTTTGTCATAAATTTACCCTTCTGTGGTCCTAAAAATGTGGGGAGCTTTTATTGTGATTTTCCTCGGGTTATTAAACTTGCATGCATGGACAGTTACAGACTTGAATTTGTGGTCACTGCCAACAGTGGCTTCATATCTATGGGCACCTTCTTTTTCTTAATTGTATCATACATCTTCATTCTGGTCACAGTCCGACAACATTCTTCAGATGATTTATCCAAAGCATTTTTCACTTTGTCAGCTCACATCACTGTAGTGGTTTTGTTTTTCACTCCATGCATGTTTCTCTATGTATGGCCTTTCCCTACTAAGTCGTTAGATAAATTTTTTGCCATTGTGGACTTCGTTGTCACTCCTGTCTTAAATCCTGCCATCTATACTTTAAGGAACAAAGACATGAAGATGGCAATGAGAAGACTGAATCGACAGGTTGTAAACTCTAGGGAGATAACTTAACAGATTTTGTTGTTAGACCACGAGATGAAGATCATAGACCATCAAAGACCCTCATGATCACCATGAATACTACAGAATGTGGACATTTTTATTATTGCCTTAAAAAACAGAAATCTTCAGAAAAGGTGGTATAGATTTAACTATTTTATTTCAGATAAAGTTGCAGCAATTTTTGCTAATCATACAAAATAAAGTGTTCTATATTTCTACCTAACCTGCATACCTAAATTGTAGTCACCAGCAATGACTACATTTAATTTGCATGTGGTTATTTCATATTTATATATAAATACATACATATGATTTCGCTTTGTCAGTATCTTTATACAGATAGTAGCAACACTGAAAATCAATGAATATTTCTTACGGAAATTATGTAGATCCAATGGATAAAATACGGGTGTATGTAAACCAGCAAATGCTAAAATCAAAAAAGAAACAATTTTCATTTAATTGTACTTCAAGTTAGATAAAGATAAACAGGAAAGTCAACAACATGTTACAACTCTTGAGTATTGTTTTCAGTTTGGTCGTTAATGTATTTTGCACAATGTTATTTAAGAAATAGACTCTAATACTTTGCATTATGCAAAATTTGTTTGTGTCCTACATTTTTAACAGCATGATTCTGTTGCCCTTGCTGCCTCAAAGCATGTACAATTTTAAAAGTATTCGAAGGGGTTTTTTTCTAGAGGAAGCTACCCCTCTGAGATCTTAATAGCTCATTTAATGTGTCTCCTCTTAAGCCAAGGTGCTTAGGACAAAGAAGATGATCAACATCTTTCAGATAAATTCTGGAAAGCCTGGTGGTCAAGAAACACAGCTGAGACAGAGTTAGATGTATTTCTATGACTAGTTTAAAAACACATTATAATAGAGTTACCAATTGGCCCAGCAATCCCACTTTCAGGAATAAACCCAAAAGAATATTAATCATCCCACTAAAAAGACACCTGCACTCATATGTGTATTGCAGTACTGTTCACAATACCAAAAATATGGAACCAACCCAGTCGACTGTGGACTGAATAAAGAAAATGTGGTTTATATACACTATGAAATACTATTCGGCCATAAAAAAATCATGTCTTTTGCAGCAACATGGATGCAACTAGAGACCATTATTCTAAGTGAATTATTATGGAAACAGAAAACTGAGTACCATGTGTTCTTCTTTGTAAGTGCTACTAACCACTGGGCACACATGGGCACAAGGATGGGAACAATAGACACTGGGCAATGCTAAAGGAGCAAGAGAGAGAGGGTGTATAGGGGGTATAAGACCACCCATTGGGTAGCATGCCCCCATTGGGGTGGGGGGAAGTCTAACCAGAAGCCCAAACCTCTCCTCATCTTCATGCAATATACCTATATAACAAATCTTCACATGTAACCTATGATTCTAAAATTAATAATAATAATAACTAAAGCTACAAAATAAAATAAGTTGTAAGAAATGAGACTTTTTTATTATGGGTCAAGATTTTTTTCCATATATTTTCTCCACAAATTTGTCATCGAAGTTCTAAGCTATTCTCTTTTTATAAAATTAAGCACTATTATTTATTGTTAACCTATCTTGATTTTAATTTTGCAACTTTATCTTATTTGTTTTACTATTTTTTAAATTACTTTTAGACTCAGTGAGATTGCAAAAAATATCTAAATGGGTTAAAAATTGTAGCAATACTCCTAACTCAGGAAGATCCTATGTGTTTCCTCTAATGGCCAAGGGAAAACTTGTGAAACTAGAAGAGTTAGTCTCAGTACATCAAGTTCAAGCTGGCTATTCCCAGATCTCTTCACCTGCATCTGGTCCATTTATAAATGGCTCTTGATTAGCCAAGTGGTTTACTAAAAAGGGCAATTCACATATATATTATTCTCTTGAAAATATTATGCTTCAAAGGAGTGCAAATAAGAGAAAATCTATACTCCTCTTTCTCTGAAAATTGCTGTAGTCTTTTCCAGTTATGAAGGAGGTAGGTGGAATTATTAAACTGAAGTATATTAGTAAAACATCAAATTACAGTATTTTATTGACAATGAGATGTTTCTGTTAGTAGCAACTGATTCTGCAGAATTTACTTATGTGTTTTCTTCCAGGAAATTTTTTTAAAATCCTGTAAGTTTGGCTTAAATACTTAGAAGAATTAATAGGAACAATGTTAGCAGGTATAGCCCATGTTATAAGTGTTAAGTTAGCAAAATCATCAAGTCCTTCTCCTGACTCTTCTGGGCTAATTTATTCTTTTCTCTACATTGTGTGGTTATTTTCCTCCTTCCCCCAAATTTAGTGTTGTCTTACTCATTTCCTTTACTTCTTTGTATAATCCCAATGAAACCTGGTTTGAAACATTTTCACATAAAGCTTCAAATCATGCCATTAGAGTTGTGAGTATTTTGAAGGCTTTTGATAAAATAAATTCATTGCATAAACAGAAAAATTAGGTTCAGATATTTTAAATGACATGTCTAAGACCACATATTGAATTTGTGCTAGAACCCAAGTCCCCTACTTCTATCTCAGTATGATATATAAAGATATTAGGTATTTTTATTCAAATAAGAGTAAAAGATGTTTAAGAAAAACATACAAAATTCTATTGATTGCATTCCAAGTTTAATCGAGGGCAGGGGGATAGATTTTATTTTTCAGCTGTGGCTAGCTATTGTAGATGCTACAATAAATATGTAAGATTCTGGAGAACTCTTTCAATGAGTTTAAACTTAATGTTTAACTTAGAATCAACACGATTATTCTAAAATTTTTGAGTAATTTTTGTCAGAAATGAACTTTGAAAGAATCATGGTGGTGAAAGATTCCCTACAGCTGACAATTCCATATTATCACTCGCCCCGCAGCAGCATAAATTCAGTAGATGTGATGTCTTAAGTGTGAGCAAGAAATTTCTTTTGCTGAAGAAGAGCATTCCTGAATTTTTACTAGCTACCATAATAGAAAGTCTTTTGCTACACATGAGAAACTTTGGGTCAACCATCATCGTTGGCATATTTTGTATGGAGCTATAACTTCAAATTTGCCTTACTCTCTCAGTGAAATAAGATAATTTAATATCAGTAATTCTCTAAGGTCAATTATAAATCGCATACTCTGATTCAAAAGAGATGCCCCAACCAGTCTTGTCAGAAATGATCTGACAACAAAAGTTCTATCCTCTATACTGTCAGTGATTAGTATGATTGAATTCATTTCTTTCCAAGAATGAAGATAAGTCTAATAGTTGAATGAGTAGTCATGATTTATTCAACTATTAGACTTCTAACTTCATTCTTGGAAAGAAATTTAGAATCACTAAATTTTTACAGGACTTGAAAAACAGTAATGTGGTGCTTGAAAGTGTGAGGTTAAGGATTAGGATTCGGGGTCATGAGAAAAGTATAATTTCCAAAAGCAATGGAATAACTGTGATTAAGAAAATGGCAAAAGAAAAAAATAGTATTCCTCCAAAATATTTGACAATAGAAACTTTCTATACCTTCACATCTTTCATGGAATCCTATCCATCAATTTCCACATCTCTTTTTTATATCTTACTTTCCCATTAACCCTTACACCTAATCCGACAAGTGTTCTTGTAGCTATGCTTTGCCTTCAGGACACATTTCACTTTCTGCTTCTCTTCACTGCAAAACTTCTTGAAATAGTACTTTTTCTCAATACACAATTAGCTAAAATGACTCTAATTCACATCCAGCAGTCATTATTCTGTCTCTCACCTAGCAGATAGCAACTTACAAGGATGTCCCAACAATACCTCTACAAGTCTAGACAGTTATCATTCTTTTACCTTTTTCTGAATTTATTCCTACTCTTAAATTTATTCCTGTCCTGACAGTACAGAGAATAGAATTTTTGTTGTGAGATCATTTCTGACACGACTGATTGGTTGGGGCATCTCTTTTGAATCAAAGTATGCGATTTATAATTGACCTTAGAGAATTACTGATATTAAATTTTCTTATTTCACTTAGAGAGTAAGGCAAATTTGAAGTTATAATAGATTCATACAAAATATGCCAAGGATGAGGGTTGACCCAAAGTTTCTTAAATGTTGTCATACTAGTGCTTGTTACAATTTACCAGAGTTAAACCACCACAATGCTCTCAATTATTCAGAATAAAAACACTAGAATAATATTTTATCTTCCACATCTTGCTGGCAAACTTTCTGTTATTACTATCGCAATAATGGCTATTATCTATTGACCACTTACTATTTGCTAGAAAACCTATATACTTGATTACATCCAATCCTCACAGCACTCCTATGAAGTTGTGCTTTTATCACCAATCTTTTTTAGATGACACAAAACATTTAAGTGACTTGTCCAAATTTATTTAGTTATATGGTAGATAAACCCAGGATTTAAACCCAAACTCTCTAGCACAAAAGCTCACACCTTAACCACTATAACATGTTGCTCAATCGTCCCTCACTCACCCCTTTCCTGCTCAAACCACCACACCTGCAGCTATTGCCTATTGCTAGGCTTAAAACAATCACTTGGCTTCATTTCCAAGACCCCCCCTCTTCCATTTCATATTGAGGCCAGAATCAATTTATAAACAATTATTCATAATTCTTATTAGTTCTTTATTGTCTTTGTAATAAAACATAACTCCTTAGAAAGAATTCTAGAATCCCTGTCCTATTTTATTTCCTATTAAACTCTTTCATGATTTCTCTCATTTAAACTTTACTACATTTTCCTCACTACACCTTTGAATTCTCCATTCTTTTCTTATCTTTCAATTTTTTTTTTTTTCTGAGTCAGGGGTATCATTCTGCTACCCAAAGCAAGAACGCCGTGACACCATCACAGCTCACCACAGCCTCAACCTCCTAGATTCAGGTGATCCTCCCACCTCAGCCTCCCAAGTAGCTGGAACTGTAGGCATGTGACACCACAACCGGCTCCTTTCTCACTTTTTAAGCATTATATTCCTCATATCTTATTTCTTTTTGTTCTATTTTTTATCTTTTATTTCATTTTGGCTTATATCTTTTTCTCCTAAGAACTTTAATATCACTAAATAATATAAAATATATGCTACAGGATATAAACTGTTTTGAAGTTCAAACAAAAGAAGATAAATGTAGGATTATGCAAATAAGACTAAAATGAGTGGAGATATTACCGGGAGAAGATGTGCAACTCCTGGTGTGGGATGACAGATTGATGTCGACAGCCAGGTTCCTGTGTTCAAGTTTGGAAAGAATTCACAAACAGACACACAGTAGCATGCCAAGCAAGTAGCTTTACTGAGCAAAGAGTATACGCTCAAGAAGGGAGAGCAGGCAAAACAATCTACAAAGGCCGCTGCTTTTGCTTTATTAAGCAAACAAGGGTACACACTCAAGAGGGAAAAGCAAGCAGAAGCAGCCTACAGAGTAGGCTGCTTCTGCCCTTAACTATTATTGAGCTACATCTTTTTTTCTTAGGGGTACTGAAGGTGTGTTTTGGGAGTCTTTCCCTTGAAATGGGTGGTCTTTTAAGCTGAATTACTGTTACTCTTCTCTCACATTGGACAGGGGAGTTTTAGGCCTTATAGTGTCAAACTTGTACTGTCGTGGTGTTGGGTGTGTGATGGGAGTGGGAAGATTTCCTAGGATAATTTTATGCTAATAATATTATAATGAAGGTAAAAGTAGGTATGATTATTTTAGATCAACCTTGGCTATTGATGCGCATGATCCAGGTGGTCTCTAAGCCAGATCCTGCCTTGGTGGTCGGCCTGACCCCAAGCATCCTGGATAGACAGAGTACTGTGCTGCAGGTGTATCTGATAAGTCTAGCAGTTAGGTAGGTGTGAAGTTTTCTATAGCTAGACCGCCTTGCTTGCATGTGTGGTTTTGTACCAGCTACTACAAACATCAACGGGCTTGGAACTCTTTTCTACGGTCTTAAAGTTTTCCTAGCCTAACCTGCCTGTTCTTTCAGAGACACAGAAGACTACGATAACTGAACTATAAGGTAGTAGTGTGGAATAAAATTATGACTTTATATTGTTGAATTCTGAAAACCTTTAAGTAATGAACCCTAGAAAGTCATTATAAGAGTGATCATAGCCTGGCTAGGTGGCTCAGCCTGCAGTTCCACGCAATTTGGGAGTCTGAGGTGAGTGAATTGCCTGAGCCCATGGTTTCGAGACCCTCCTGGGCAACTTGGCGAGACCTCATCTCTACAATAAATCAAAAATTAGCCGGGTGTGGTAGCGCACGCCTGTAGTTCCAGCTTCTGGAAGGCTGAGGCGGAAGGATCGCTAGAGCCCAGCAGGTCAAGGTTGCGGTGGCCAGGAGTGGCCACTGCACTACAGTCTGGCGACAGAGTGAAAATTCAACACAAAAAAAAAAAGAGTGATCAGAATGATACAAAATGAAGCTTAAAATTTGAATGTAATAATTCTGACTTCCTTCTCATTCTGTTCTATAAGGTAACTGCAGAGGCTGTTTCCTGGAATGAATCGATAAGTGAAACAAATCACTCCATGGTGACTGAGTTCATTTTTCTGGGACTCTCTGATTCTCCGGAACTCCAGATTTTTCTATTTGTGTTGTTTTTTGTATTCTATGGAGCAATTGTGTTTGGAAACCTTCTTATTGTCATAACTGTGGCTTCTGACTCCCACCTTCACTCCCCCATGTACTTTCTGCTAGCCAACCTCTCACTCCTTGATCTGTCTCTGTCTTCAGTCACAGCCCCCAAGATGATTACTGACTTCTTCAGTCAGCGCAAAGTCATCTCTTTCAAAGGCTGCCTTGCTCAGATCTTTCTCCTTCACTTCTTTGGTGGGAGTGAGTTGGTGATCCTCATAGCCATGGCCTTTGACAGATATGTAGCAATCTGTAAGCCCCTACACTACGCTACAGTTATGTGTGGCAATGTATGTGTTGGCATAGTGGCTGCTGCATGGGGAATTGGCTTCCTCCACTCAGTGAGCCAGTTGGCATTTGCAGTGCACTTACCCTTCTGTGGTCCTAATGAAGTCGATAGCTTTTACTGTGATCTTCCTAGGGTAATCAAACTTGCCTGTACAGACACCTACAGGCTAGATATCATGGTCATTGCTAACAGTGGTGTGCTCACTGTGTGTTCTTTTGTTCTCCTAATCATCTCCTACACGATCATCCTAATGACCATCCAGCGTCGTCCTTCATACAGATCATCCAAGGCTCTGTCTACTTTGACTGCTCACATCACAGTAGTTCTTTTGTTCTTTGGACCATGTATCTTTATTTATGCCTGGCCATTCCCCATAAAGTCATTAGATAAATTCCTTGCTGTGTTTTATTCTGTGATCACTCCTTTCCTAAACCCAATTATATACACACTGAGGAACAAAGACATGAAGACTGCAATGAGACGACTGAGAAAATGGAATGTGAATTCCAGTGCAAACTCTTAGATCTTCTATAACTGTGAGAGTAATCTGAGATAATGACATAAAATATAGTGAAGTTGGTAAATTATTCAGTTAAACTCATGAATATTATACCTTTCATTCCCGTATAGTTTAGTAATTGTCAAAGAACTTTCACATACACTGCCTCAATTTGTTGTTTAACAACTTTGTATGTTGCATTTTGGGATACAGATGCAAAGTTAATATCATGCTTTCAAAATATTATTCCACTAATTCTCAGAACAATGAAAGGCATAAATGTATTAGTATTTGTGTATAACTGTACCTACCTGTGTGATCCTGAGTTTGATAGAAGAAAGGATAAAAAGCAGTTTGGCTTACAAACTTTTAAAAATTTAATTTGGCTCATTCTTTCTAAAAACATCAACAAAGGAACAGCCACAAGCCTAATTCAAAGAATGCACTTAGTGATAAGGATATATATATATCCTTTATATATATATATATATAAACTTTTTTTTTCTGAAAACAGGATTTATTGAGAGGACAGAGAAGCTCCTACAGTGGAAGGGAATCCGAAGGGGTTGCCCATATGTCAACTTTTAAGTAGTTTAAAAAATACACTCCTCCCATTGTAACAGTTTACAGTTACCACCATCACATTACATAATCTATAAGTATATTTCCAGGAGTGACAGGAAGAGCAAGTCTGCCAACATGAAGTTGCCCTTCTAGACACACTTTACATGATACATGACAACTGCTCATAAGCAGTAGCAAGAATTTAGAGGAATCCACTTTCTCAACATGTTGGCACAAAGTGTATCACTTGTATTCTTTTATGTTGTTTTCCATGGTTAGCTTTTAAAAGGACAAACCTTAAAGTTTAAAAAAAAAAGCTGAATTCAACTCTACTTACACTTACTAATCATGACTTTGGCTACATTACTTAGATTTCATAAGCTTTTGTTTCTACTGTTATAAAAGAGATAATACTTAGCGTGCATGATTATTATAAGGAATAATAACAAAATAGGTATAAATCGGATATCACTTTGTGGTATATTCAGCACTCAATAAAAAAATAAGTACTATATATTTATTCTATAAATACTTTTTTTTTTTAATCAGTATTTTTTATTATGGTTTTGTGGGGTACAGTTAAGGGTTAGGTGTACAATGACGTTTCATTCAGGCACCCTGTAGATAAGAAGTGTTTTCCCATCCCCCGACAGATATTTGCTACTGTTAATCCCATCCCCCCCCATATAAATACTTTTTATTGACAAAGCGAAGAGTTCCCAACCTTTATTGTTTTCCATCATGTTTGTAGGATATAATACATTTCAGTCTTTACACAAGCTCATTTAGGTTATTGCACTTGTAAGTAGAAGTGTATATATTTATATGCAGTTGAGTACTCCTGCACTTCCACTACCATCATAGAAAAGCATGCTGAAAATTCAGGATAAAAATTGAGGAGACTATAAGCTGAAAAAAAAAATCTTAACAAGTGATTCTGACAAATATCTCTTCCTCCCAAGGAGAATCATTGAAACAGGATAAAATATTCTAAGGAAAAAGAAATGCAGTCTATCAAAGTATGACATGAACTAAAAGATAATGAGAGTCAGATGTTAAGAAAATTAAAATTATATTCACCATAGAAAAAATAAAATAGAAAATTCATAAGTAAACTTAAAAATACATTAAAAATTAATATATAATAAAAACTATCAGAAAAAAATAAAAGTGATAAATGAACATACTTAAAATAGTTAAAAATCCATACTTAATTATTTATGACAAGAGGAGGAAACAGGGCATGACACAGTAATAAAAGCTAGGCTTTTCTTATTTTACTTTGGAATCATGTAACTGCTACATAATTTAAAATTAAATTAAATTTTAAAATTGCAGTCTTTAAATATTAAGTCCAAATCAAGATAAGTGATTTAATGGCATTTTAATGAGGTAGAATTACATCAGAGAAAAGAATTCTTTCACTGGTCACTAACACACGGTCAAAATACTATGGAGGATAGAATAGAAAGCATAAAAAGAACTCAAACTTTAAAGTTAAAAGCACAAACTTTAAAGTTTAAAAAAAAAGCTGAATTCAACTCTATTTACACTTACTAATCATGACTTTGGTTACATTACTTAGATTTCATAAGCTTCAGTTTCTGTTATAAACAAGATAATGCTTAGCATGCATGGTTATTATAAGGAATAATAACAAAATAGGTATAAATCAGATAGCACTGTTTGTGGTATATTCACCACTCAATAAAAAAATAAGTACTATATAATTATTCTATAAATACTATTTATCAACAAAGCCAAGAGTTCCCAACCTTTATTGTTTTCCATCACGCTTGTAGGAAGTAATACATTTCAATCTTTACACAAGCTCATTTAGGTCATTGCACTTGTAAGTAGAAGTGCAATGTAAGTAGAGCTACTACTTGTTGTTAGTAGTAATATTAATCTTATTACTTTAAAAATATTATTATTGAAATAAGGCAAATAAGTATATGTTAATATGAAATTTTTAGCATCAAAGGAGATATATTAAGGAAGCTAAATAAATAAACTGTATTTTAATGTTATTAGAAATGTGTTTATATACAAATAGTTTATTTTTCTTTTGCTAAAAATACAAGTATTTTTTGAATCTGTTCACTAAAAAGACCTGGAAGCAATGACAGCCCAATAACAATGGAACACATCTAATGCCCTTGTGTTATCGTCAAATACCATCTCTTACTAACAAGAATCAGGGCTGTTTAGATAAATGGTTGAAGCTCTGAAACAGAAATATATGAGATAATTCTGAAACATTTTTTCAAGTCATAAGAAAAGGAAGCTAAATAAGACAATTGGGATAATGTGAAAATAACACAGAAGGCAACCTGAACAGCCTACTGCTTACCAGAAGTGGAACTATATGAATATCAATAATAATAATGAACAGTGTAATAGATTGAAGCACCAGTATACAAAATATCCATAAGATCATAACAATTATCTAAGTAAAAGTTAGTTTATTGCTTTTGGGGGGTCACTATATTTCCACTTAATATTCTGAAACTATATAAATTTTAAAAAGAATCAAGTATTTATTTTGCTTTTCTTATATGGTAATTTTGAAGGGAGATAACCAAATAGTTGATTAAAAGAAGTTCTTTACAGAAAATGATAAGTTAATTGCAAAAGAAATTATAGAATTAGGAAATTTCCATTTTGTAACTCAATCAATTAAGGTGTCTAAGGCAACAATCAAGAGGCTAAAATTATTGAATAACAGTTTTAGAAGAAAACTTATAAGAAAAGGATTAGTTGACAACAACTGAACTTGATCAATTTTCAAAGCACATGGAGTGAATATATAAAGTTTAATGCAAAGCACACAGAAACAACTAGAAATGAGCCTGCTTAATAAAAATTCTTCATTTAATGACAATATATAGAAGACAGAAACATGCAAGAACACTATGAGGCTTTAATAAAATAAACAAAGTAATAGGATAAACAAAGTATGGAATATTCTACCAGAAAAATAGCCTGGATTATTCAGCAAGTACACAGAGTATAAAAGCAGGAGAAAGGAATTAAAACAGAGTCAAAAAGACCAATCCGATCTAAACTTTGTTTAGATCCTGATTCAAATAAACCAACTTCAACAAATGACTTTAAGACAATCAGGACAATTTAAACAAAGACAAGGTATATGACATCAAATACAAATAAACATAAATAAAGATACACAGATAGAAGGATGATAGATAGGTAGCTAGGTAGGTAGATAGATATGATAGATGATTAGATAGATGATAGATGATAGAGAGAGATAAAGATAGATGATAAATGTAGGAATTGAGGAACTAAGATTGCAGAGAGAAAAAGATTGCTCATTAAGATGTGCAGGAAACTAAGACAATTGGGATAATGTCAAAATAACACAGGGGTCAACCTGAACAGCCTATCACTTACCAGAAGTGAAATTATATGAAAAGCAAATATCAATAATTGATATGCATATCATTTATCAACTACTGGTGTAGTAAGAGGGATGAAAAGTCAAGTATAGTGAAAATGCTGAGAGACAGAGAAAGTAGTAGAGCGTCTGGCAACCTCATCTCTCTAAAAAGTCAAAATTAGAGATTAAGACTGTTGAGGCAACAAGGATATGAAGGGCAGAGTCTTCTAACTGAGTCTATTGAGTCTTCTAATATGTAAAATGGTATATCTATCTATAGCTTTAAGTCTTTCTTGATTTATGTCAGCAGTGTTATGTTATTTTACTGTATGATTTTGCTATATACAATCCTGAGTACTTATACTTTTGACACTATTATAAGAGAATTGCATAATTTTATTTCTGTTATCTTCTGCTAACTTGCAGATATGTATATGTATACACAATATTATACTGATATTGTATTCTGTAATCTTCTAAATTCATGCATTAGATTCAGTAACTGCTTTGTAAACTTTTTAGAAGTTCTAGGAGAAGATACTCCTGTTTTAAGTCTCAGAAATAAAGTCATTTGTTTGCTTTTTTATTTTAAAAATTTGTCTGTTTCATCTAAGCTGTTAATGTATTGGTATAAAATTTCTCCCAGTATTCCTTTATGATCTTTTTTATGTTATTAAGATTTTTACTGATATCTCCTCTTTCATTCTACTACTCTTCTTTTTTTCTCTATATTTTTCTTGGTTAACCTAGCTAAATATGCATCAAATTTATTTAAAAATTTCAACTTTTAACTTGGTTAACTTTTAACCAACTTATGGTAGTTACTTTTATGTGTCAACTACAATATCTAGATATTTGGCCAACTGTCAGTCTAGATGATGTTGTGAAGGTTTTTTTAAAGATGAACTTAGCATCTAAATCAGTAGACTGTGAGTAAAGCAGACTACCCTTGATAGTGTGGATGTGTCTTATCCAATTAATTGAAGGTCTAAAGGAGAAAAAATAGAATTCTCCCTTCAGGTAGCCTTTGAACTTATCAGCTTTGGGCTCATTCATCTTCAATATAAATTCTTCCCTGTATCTCCACCCTGCCATATTTGTAATTGCCAGGCTTCACAAATTGTTGAACCAATTTGTTAAATCAAATACACACA